GGGGAGAGGGAGATGGGCGCTCGCTCCTCTGCTCCAGCCGCTGCCCTCCAGGTTGTGCCTTACACCATTTCTGCAAACAAAGAGTGGGATTTTTTTTAACGCCCTTTTTTTAACAGGATTTTTTTTAATCAGCCTTGACCATCGCCAGTTCCTTGCGGCCCAGTCGATGATTGCTCACTGTTCTTCCTTGCTTCCTCCTGCTTGACCTCTCCGGTCAAAACAAAACCTGGGCTGAGCGTTACCGGTGCTCCAGCTTTGCGTGGGGGCTCTGCCGTGGCCCACGGGCGGGGGAGGCTGTCTGGGGGGGCAGCGAGCCCGGGGGATCGCTGGGAAAGCTCAGGGCAGCAAGCAGAGGTCGGGGATGCTGTTTACGTGCTTTTGTGAGCACCCTCCCGCCGGGCAGGATTGGGTCCCCCTTCCCTCTTCCTTTGCTTCTCCCATCCGAAAGGCAAATGAAAGGCAAAACAGCAAATTCACAGCGTGAGGTCGGTCCCGCCGGCTGTGCCAGGTAAACCAGGCGAGGGACGGCTCAAGCGCTCGCCCTCATCCATGCCCGTGGCCCTGCGTGGGTACAGGTGACCTGATTTTGCTTTGCATCTGCGGGGTGGGGACGCTGGCTCCGGCCGGGGGACGCCAGAGGATGCAGAAGAGTCCTCGGGTCCCCCCCAGCCGCGCGGGGAGCTGCTGCGCGAGGGGCGATGGGGTGAGCCGAAGGCGCTGCCTGGTGCTGCTGGAAAGTTCCTGCAGGCCTTATCTGCTGCCGCCCCCGCCCCGCGTGGACTTTGCCGCCGCGCGTGCGGCTTTTCCGCTGACTCGCAGCTCTCGCGGTGACCTCGGCCGGGGCTGAGCTGCGTGACTCAGCACCGAAGCTTCCCTGGCCCCGTCTGCGTCTCGCCCCGAGCAGGGGCGCTGGGGCCGGTGCCTGGCTCGGCGGTGGCTGAGGTTTGAGCCCAACCCCTGCGCGGCTGGGAGCCCCTCGCCGCCCCCTGCCCCTGCCTGCGCTCAGCGGGGGCTTCCCCAGGGAAGGGGCCGATCCTGCCATGACCTCCCTGGCGGCCGCGCTCCGCCGCGAGGTTTTTAGGGCAGGAGGCCAGCTTTGGGCTTGTTAGTTACTGCAACAGCCCGACCTGCTGATTTTTGTGCTCGTCCTTTTGCAGCAGATGCCCCAGGACCAGTCAGGATGTGTTTCAAATGAAAGGGAAATAGCGTTCCCCTCTCCTGGTCCCTCAGTTCCAATTCCAAAGGGGTCTGCGCTCAGCGAACCCCATCACGCTTCCGCTTGTAACCGAGGAGAGCGAGCTCCAGCGCGC